CTCAGGCCTGGGCAGGGGTCCGATCCGGTGATTGGTGATCGGAAGGTGATGAGGGTCAACTCCTCTGGCCGAGGCATCAGGCCTGGGCGGGGGGTTGGGGGGTCCCCTTCCTGGGCCTGATGCCTGGGCCAGAGGCATCATGCCTGGGTGGGGGGCGGAGCCAGGGATTGGGGGGATATGATGGTCCCCTTGCCCAGGCCTGAAGCCTGGGTCAGAGGCGTCAGGCTTGGGCGGGGGCCAGAGCCAGTGATCGGGGGGAGATGGGGGTCCCCTGTCCAAGCCTGACACCTCTAGTGGAGGCATCAGGCCTGGGCAAAGGGCTGATCAGGCGATCGGAGGATGATGGGGGTCTACGCCTCTGGCCGAAGCATCAGGCCTGGGCAAGGGGCAGAGCCAGCAATCGGAGGGGTCTGGGGGTGCCCTGCCCAGGCCTTACTCCTGGGCCAGAGGCATCAGGCCTGGGCTGGGGGCAGAACCAGTGATGGGGGGAAATGAGGGTCCCCTGCCCAGGCCTGACGCCTCTGTTAGAGGCGTCAGGCCTGGGCAAGGGGCCGATCCTGCGATTGGAGGGTGATGGGGGTCAACGCCTGAGGGCTCCCAGTATGTGAGAGGGGGCAGGCTGGGCTGAGGGACACTCCCCACACACACACCCAGTGCACGAATTTTGTGCACCGGGCCCCTAGTCTCTATATATAAAAGCCTAAGCAACTCTTTGACTGGTAGCTATGATGCACATTGACCACCAGGGGGCAGACACTCAATGCACAGGTATGGAAACATGGAACAGACTGATGAATCTCAAGGAAGGGTAGAAGAGATTAAACAAAGATCTTATATGCATACTAGAGGCCCGGTGCATGGATTTGTGCACCAGTGGGGTCTCTCGGCCTGGCCTGTGGGGATTGGGCCTAAACCAGCCCAGTGCACCCGTGGAGTCCCTCAGGCTGGCCTGTAGGAATCAGGCTGAAACCAGCAGTCTGACATCCCCTGAGGGGTCCCGGATTGCCAGAGGGCACAGGCTAGGTTGAGAGACCCCACTGGTACATGAATCCATGCACTGGGCCTCTATAATCTATGATATCATCTACATTCTGATTTATTATTGTTACACTAAACTGCTTCATGACTAGTCTTTCATATTTTATGCTTAAAGATTTTGTCTACATCATTTTACTTTGTGAAAACTACTCTCTATTTTGGAGGATATTACTTCTTTTGAACAGCATAGTATTTACCAAGAACATCCCAGAAATGCAGTTATCTGTAACATGTTTCTTTGGTTCATAATGTTATTCTGCAACACATTTGTGATTTAGCATGTAAGCCTTAGGCTAGGGCATGAAAAAGAAAATCAAAAATGAAGCTACAACAAAGGAAGGTGAATAAATCATTTGAAGCACATAATATTTTAATATCACTCTGCTCATGGAGGCCTCTGATGTTAGGTGAACTATCACCGTAAAGAAAAGAGTAGAACAGGATAACTGAAATGTTTGGTGTCAGTTGATTTTTTTGTATTTTAAGTTATTTGCAGTGCTCTTATAGAGTAATATTTTAGTTGTTGCATGCTTCAATGGCTGCCTAATAGATCTTGATTATTTCTAAGACATTTTTATTGAATTTTTTGTAAAATAATCTTTCAAAATGTGTTACTAGTTTTTTTGAGGCTCTTTATACAGTATAAAATGCAATGTCAGATATCAAAGACTAATGCAGTAGAACAGAGTTTAAGTTTTAATTTTAATTTGCCTTTTCTCTCTGATTCTATTTTTAGGAACTGGGACTTGTCATTACTGGAACTCTTCCGGTCTTCAATATAACTGGCCAAGTTGAAAATAAGACAAATCTAAAGGTTAAAAGTTAATTGATAAAATTAATAATAATAACTGATAAGCTATGACGTTGAAGCTCAATGTGGATAAGATATTTCTATAAGGAAGTACATACAGTGTAACTGACTGTGAGGCTGGAAGTAAAAGGCAGCAGCTGCTTCTGTGATAACCACCTGGGAAAAAGGAAATGCAGGTCAAGTTCTCTGTTTCCCCACAGACAGGATTCAGCCTAACCCTGTTTAACTATGACCCGGCGAGAACACAAGTTCAGACTCTGGGAGTAATTATGTAATGAATGGGCAATACTATTATGTGCACATTTTTAAAATGCATCTAAGATATATCCGAACCAAACCATTTTGTCTCAGGTGTACATAGGTCTATTTAATGAGTTGTTCCTCCACCAACTCCCATTCAAACCATTGTTTCTTTAATCATCATGCCACTCAAGGATCTGATTTAAATAATTTATGTTTTCTATGTTAAGGTTCAGGAAAAATACTTGAGTTTCACCATTTTTTTTTATTTTATTTCTATAGCACTGGTATATTGTCACTGCAATAAAATGCTACCCACTTAAAATTTGGAAAGTTCTGAAAAATATCTTGTGCTTGTTAATTTCCATTTCTTATTTTTTAAATACTTTTGATTTAAAAATAGGGTTACATTCTTATTTCTTAGCTTATAGCAAAAGGAATTTAAGAATGTCAGAGAATACTAGTCATTTTGTAGTTTGGTTGTCATTCTTGATTTGAGGGCCATTTATTTCCAGTTTATGGTATAATGAAGCCTATAGCACTTAAGCATTACTTGTTTAGTTATTATAAATTTCAGTTGAGCTCCTTATTTTAATAATGTAGCCATAGAAAACATTACTTATTCCTCTTTGGAGGCCCATTACCACTCTTAAATGTCTGTGGGTCATACTATCATAACTCATAAAGTAGTCATTCTCTCTCCTCATATGGACTGTACAAGGGACAGCTTTAATTTGGGATTTTACTTGAACTAGGAAAACAGCACAGTTGTTGACATAACTTTCTCATTGCCTGTCCATCTACACAAAGTTTAAAGAATTCTTATAATAACTATAGACTGGATTTTACAATTTTCTTGGTAACATCTCAATTTAACTTATAATTTATATGATTTTATTTAAAACAAAAATTCCTGATTCTAAATGTTAATTCTATTTTCAGTGTATGTCCCATAGAATATTAAGATAACAATTTGCCAAACAGCCTCCTTGACTTGCAACTAAAACTATGATGCCCATTCTTTGGTATTTCTTGGAAATTAGCAGCAAGCAGAAATTAGTGTTTTTAGGATTTCTGCAACTTTATTGCTAATAAGATCACATACTTTTTAGGATAGTAGAATAGATACTATCAACAGCAAAAATCAATAGTTTTCTCATTGCCTATTACCAAACATCTAACTGTAACCTAGACATTTTAGTGCTTTTTAAAAATTTTTAATTTTTATTGTTGAAGGTATTACAGATGGCCCCCATTTTTCACCCATTGACCCCCTCTGCCCCCACTTCTGCCACCCCTTCGCCAGGCCTTCACCGCACTATTATCTATGTCATGAGAGTATACCACCATGTCAGTATACACTCACATGCATACACACTCACAGAGCTGCAGCTGCTGAATATACAGTAGCAATAAAGTTGAATATTAGGGGTAAAATAAGTACAAGAAGTATCAAGTAAAGTTTTTCATAACATAAATTTTCAAGATTTTATTAATTAAGTTAAATAGTAAGTAATAAAATTGTGGGAAAACAAAGCTGAAAATCATTGTACATTGATACAAAAATGCCATACATATATGCCATATTACGTTATATATATCTATATCTCTATATAATGTAAATTTGAGCTATAGTATGGCATTCAAACGATGCCACGCAAAGGAATGAATAATATTGTGTAGAAATATATAAAGTTTTGGTATAAAACCCACTACCTTTTTGCTATCTTATAGAACCAGCTGATTCTTGGTGTGATGGGAGTTGATGTGTCTTTGGAAGATATTAAAAGACTAACACCACGCTTTACAGTAAGATGCAATTTACCATTTTGGTATCTTTTCTGTCTTAAAACTCTGTGTTAATCTAACTTGTTCATAAAGCATTAAATAACTTTAGAAATTATGTGCAGTTATATTAATGAAAGAACTAAATGTTAAAAGGATCCTTAAAATAAAAAAATAAAGATATCATGTTATCTTTCTTCATGCTTTAAAATGTGTATTTAAGATTTATTTTAAAAGGGGAATGAGGATTTCTGCTTGTGGCTTAGGAATCTCTAATTTTTTTTTTTTACTTTTATTGTTGTTTGTTTGCAGCTGTGCCCTAATGGCTATTATTTTGCAATTGATCCTAATGGTTATGTTTTATTACATCCAAATCTTCAGCCAAAGGTATGTATATAATTTGTTTACAATGATTAGTGTCCTGTTTTCAATGATTAATGGTTAATGTTCTTAATAGGTATGTTATTTTAGAATTTCACTGTATAGCACTAAATAGAAACATTATATTTGTAATGTTAATAGATGACAAGATCACAGTTTATAATATATCAAAATGTGAAAGCACTGTTTATTTTCTCTTATCAATTTAGCTTTCCAATATTTAGCTAATCAATATTCTTATCTTAAAGACAGCCTTTATCACCACCCATGCCTGAGTTCCACACGTCCTACTTGGGACTTTGCTTAAGGTTGTAAGATAGTGAAGGAGATTGCCGCCCCCGCCTCCCCCGTCCACCCACATGAATCTGATAAATATAAGTAATGTTCCTCAATGCATGGGCCATGTTTTCTATTGTCCTTTTCTTCTGGTAATTCTCTCTCTCTCCCCCCTTCATCTCCAAGAGTGTGAGGTGGTTTTTTTTCTACTTTTGAATAGACTTATAAAAATACGTATGCAATTCAATAAGTAAAACCCCATGGGATGGGCTTCAGAAATGGGAAGTGTTTATTAATCCGTGAGTTATTGGGAAGTGATAAAATTGCATAAACCTTTTCATCCTAATCTTTATGCCTTTTTTCTAAGGTATAAATCATATTATTTTAAAAAATATATATTTTTATTGATTTCAGAGAGGAAGGGAGAGGGAGGGAGGGAGGGAGGGAGGGAGAGAGAGAGAGAGAGAGAGAGAGAAAGAGAGAGAGAGAGAAACATCATTGATGAGAGAATCATTACTTGGCTGCCTCCTGCACGCCCCCTCCTGGGGTTCAAGCCTGCAACCTGGTCATGTGCCCTGAACAGAAATTGAATGGCAACCTTTCTGCATGGGATGATGCCCAACTGAGCCACAGTGGCCAGGGCTAGCTTTTTTTATTTTTATATAGGAAATTATTAAAAGCAAGTATGCAACAGAATCACATTTAGAAAAATATTATTTTAGAAACCATTACAAATAAATATTGTTAAACAATCAATGTATTTTTTTCTTAAATTCATGGTTTTGAATTCTTATTATTAAAAGTTAAACATAATTTCTATTTTGTGGGTGATGTATGCTATACAGATTGATACAAGAAACTCATAAGATGATAATAAAGTATATGACAAATGTTTCAGAAACTGACAAATACAAAGGACCAATATGGTAATTTCAGCAGATATGCTAACAAAATTAATCTTAATTTTTCATTAGCAATTCACCAATAGAAAAAAAAGGAAAATAATATTATGTCCTATAGTACCCAAAATTATTTAACAAGGTCAAAGTCTAATTTTATGTTTCCTGTTTTATTTCAAAATTCATTTTAATTGTTTTCCATTTTGTTTTATTGAAATAATCAGATTAAGTATACATATTAGGTAATTCCTATTGATCAGTCCCAAGAAGTATTTATTGTAAAAGAAATTGTATATTCTCTATGTCATAGAAGTCAATATTTAAAATAAATGTATAGTGTTTTGATTGAATTATCCATTAGTGCCACAGATATATTTGGTATTACTTCAGAAAACAAAGGCACAAATTTTAAGGGTTAAGACTTTTTAAAAGGCCTATAGTATTTATATTTTAACACATTTGAATTATGTAAATTCTATACATTCTTTTTTTTTCTTAATCAGCATGAAAGTTGTCTGAGACAAATCATCTTCCTCACTTACAACTTCCTCACTTTTTTCCTAAGAAAAAAAAAGGGAATATTAACAGTCGTTTCTCTTAAACAAAAAAAAACAAAAACACAGTTTTTTACTTACCATATTTTTAAACTTTTATTTTGTTTACTGACTCTTCGTGAACTCTATAATACCTGTTTTTTATCAAGCAAATACATGACCATAATTGATTATAGAATAAAACCCTTATCTGTGTTGAGTTGTAGCATGATGAATTACCATCTTTCTGTTGCTTTAGCCTATTGGTGTGGGTATACCAACAATTAATTTAAGAAAAAGGAGACCCAATGTTCAGGTAACTGAATGAAATTAGCAGTGCCTTCAAATTTGCTAAATCAGAGTTGAAATTAAGCTTCTCTTTCTAAAAGCTTATGATTAATGCTGCCTTTCCTGACATCAAGCTTCCAGAGCATGAGATGGAGATGAGCTTCGTTTCTCAATAAGCTGGAGCAAAATGTTATTAATGGTGGCAGAGGGTATGCATTAGCTAACTAAACATTGCTAGCAAATTATGTAGTAATAATGTTAACAATCCGCATAATAATCAGATGGCTTCTAAAGATAAATTTATTAAACATTGTGAAATTGGTATCAAATCCATGTAATCTTAACAATTTGTGAAATTCATTTCTAAGTGGAAATAAAAATACAATTCTGATGTGATATTTTCTATAAGCCATAGAATTTAAGCCAATGTTTCTTTTTTTACTTTCTAAAAGTATAGGCTTAGTTAGAGGTTAGAGAAAATTCCCTTCAACTAATTAAAGATGTCCTAAATTACAAATAAACATTATGAATTGTTTGGTATTGCTTAGCAAACTCAAAATTTTTCTCTATTGTCAACAAAATTTAAACTTTATTATATGTATGCATATTTCTTTAAGCACCTTAAAAATATCAAATGTAAAAGAATACTTCCTGTAATTTAGTACAGTTTAGTAAAAAAAAAAATTTTTAATGTTAAAGAACGTTCAATATTATTTAAGGCTTTAAATGTAAGCTTACAATTTCTTAAAAAAAGAAAGTTGGTGACATAATACAAATGGTCTCTACTTATAATGATGCGACTTAGGATTTTTTTGACTTCACAAAGGTGTGAAAGCAATATGCATTCAGTAGAAATCGTATTATGAATTTTGATCTATTCCTGGGCTGGCAGGATATGGTAGGATCCTCTCCCCTGATGCTGAACAATGTTAAGAGTTCTGAGCACGTTTAAAGTAGCCTATCTGAAGGTATGATGCTCCATCGGTTAGAAGTGTTAAATGCATTTTCACCTTACAGTCTTTTCAATTTATGATGGGTTTATCGGGACATAAGCTCATCATAACTCAAGGAGCATCTATAATGGAGAAGTAGTATGGTATTAAGAAGAAATCTTTGAGCTATAAAAGTAGGACTTACAGCCAACACTGTAAACTTGAGTAATTGAGCAGAGGATTAAACTAATAATTATTTTCTACCCCACACAGTATATCTGCCTAGGAGATTAATATATATATATATATTTTAGGCTCCATTTCCTGAAAATTTCATTTAATCTGGCAGGGGACAAAATCCAGGCTTCTGAATAGTTTTTAAACTAACCCAGGTTGTTCTAAAGTGTAGAGTCTCTAGATTAATGGCTTCAGGACGTTCTCTCCTAGCCCTCGAATTCCATGCAATTTGAATTTCATTTGTTGCATCAGTCTTTATATCTTTTATGATTCCTTTGGAGATTAAAATTATACTTATGTCTTGATAAATTATTTTCTGTTCCTCTTCTTGCATGTTTCTGTGTATTATCTTAGCAGTCATGTACATCTTAGTGAATTATTATTCTTGCAGTACTTTCAGATTGCATGTAATATTATGATATAATTTCTAAAACAAACAACCTTAAAAGTGGTTTGTTTTATGTTTGTTTTCCTTTAAGGAAACCCCAAATGGCAAACTAGCAACCACACAAGACTTCTGAATTTTGGGAATATTTTTTGAACTACGTATGTAGTATTTTTAATAATACTTAACTACTAATTATTTCAATTTAAAATTTGTTAATATTGCATTTTATTTTAGTTCCACAAATTATGTGGTTATTCTGTCAGTTGATATTCAGATTTTACAAATGAGAAATGTAAAATGTGAGATATTTAAAACTTAAAAGTATTGGGAGTAGAGGAACTTGATTCTAATTCTCAATACTCTCTTGTTGCTTTCTTATTAGATTTTACTTTTACATTTTTTTTATAACTGTTCCTATGACGGGTCTTTCAAAAAATGGTCAGCCAGATTGCCATTTAAAAAGTACAAGTTATTTATTGACATTTTTCTTTTATTATTTCATTTTCTTCTCTGTGTCTTTATATGTTGGATTGGGACATCATCTTCATATTGCCAATTCTTCCTGATAATGCCTCCTCCATGCATGCTGTTTGGGTCTGGTCATGCTATGCATTATCCATTGCATGTAAGATAATATTCTTATTTATGTTTTGATTATTTTGACTTTGTTTTGCAGTGACTTTGTTAAAATGTTAATGCTGGTCTAATGGTGTTTGTGTGGAGATAATTTATTTCATGGGACTTTTAAATAAGCAATTCTTAATAATATTTTCAACTATAGAGTATCCTTTTGTTAGAGACTTTCTCAGTTTTGTTTCTTTAAAGAAAGGATTATAATTATTTTCAACATTGATTTTTATTTTCTTATGAAATATGTGACATTTCAAATCAATATTTGCTTCTGAGCGAATATGGTAGCATCCAAACAATGGTCAGTATTGAACAATTTGACACTTAATTTCAGTTATCTAGAATCTTCTGATTCTACATACTGCATTCATAAGCGGTGAATATTTTTTTAATAAAATTGACAGACACAGTTGAGATTATTTTTGTAAATTTGCCTTTAAAAAAATCCTCATTCATCAAAACCCATGGGAATCATAAACTTGCATTGTTTAAATGGAGTTACTCTTCAAAAGAAGGCCTTTTTTTATCATTATAAATTAATACATGCCATGTGTACTTATTTGTCATCACTTGTGATAAATAAGATATGGTTAATTTCAGTACATTTTACTAATTGGTGCTGTCTTTGGTAGTCAGTTCTCCTAAAACATTCTTTAAAATAGTGATGATCTGAATATATTTTGGAAGAGCCTGTGAGGCTGAAATTATTCAAATTCTATTTACCTTGCAATAATACAGCATAGTTTGTATTTATTACTCTTGTTTACTTAATTATTATAATATAGCAGTATTTATTTTATGAAACATTAAACACCTGGTTTCTAAAATTTTGTAACTATAAAATTATAGATACCATTACAATTTCATTGTTCTAGTGAACTTTGAAATTCTACTATGGCATGTTGCATTACTTGGCATGTGTTATAAGATAATCAGTATATTTTTGTTTATCAAATAGTTTAGTAAGTTTTCATTTTGTAATTGACAACTTTTTAAAAAATGTCATATGAGATGAATTAGCCAGGTTAACTTTTATTTTGATATATTTATATAAATAAGTAAAAAATATTCTTCCTTATTCCACAATGAATTTTATTTATTGTTGGACACTAGCAAGAAGTAGCGGTAGGAGATGCTAAAGCAGGGAACAGTATTTAATGAATCCAGGGGTCATTATTCTAGTTAGACTTCAATTACAATACCTAATCTTTATTAAGTTTTTTTATGCCTTAGCCACAAATTTTTCCTTAAATAAACTATATGTAAAGGTTCTGAGATTCAAATACCTGAAAGAAATTTGCATATTTATGCATTTGTAAGAAGGAAGAATGTGTTTAGTAGAGCTTGTTCTGCTTAGCAAATTCATAGTTTTAAAGTATTTTTCTTCATTTAATCTTATTACTTTACAGATACAAATAAGAAAGGATATTATTTATGTATTCCCTTTGTTATATTGCTTAATATGTTATTAACTTGGCTATATTTAACTCCTTTCCATCATAACTAAAGAGAAACTTCTGAGTGGATCTTCAAAGTCATTTCCCCCCAGAGCTTGTGGTTCTAAATGTAGTACCTAACTCAGTGCTCAAAATAAGACTATCTTCAGCTGATGATTAATTAAAATTTGCTGCACTTAAAGCTTAAATTTCTGGCCCTACTTATTATTACTTTAAAATATATATATATATGAAAGAATATATCATTATTTTTATTATATAACTTTTATTATACCTTAGGTAAGTAACCTTTACAGGTTAATTTTATATTCAAATATTAATTGAATTATTCTATATATAGCATCATTTTACAGTGTCACATATGCTTAATTATTATTATTTTTTGTGTAGAACCCCAAATCTCAGGAGCCAGTAACTTTGGATTTCCTTGATGCAGAATTAGAGAATGATATTAAAGTGGAGGTGAGTGTAATCAGGAGGCCTGAACAAGACCTTCAGCTTAAATGCTGGAATCACCCATTCCACAAGTATCCATTGAGCAGCTTCAGCGGGTTGGGTGCTCTCTTAGGTAATGTATACACAAATTTGGATGTTTTTTTCTCTTGAAAAGATTCTAGGTCCTGGGCTCACTTATCCAAAAGGTCATATGAAAAGAAATAAATATTTTAAATTGGGTGTGTTTGTTTCTTTCTCATTTCACAGATAGAGATATTTTAAGTATTTCAACACAAATGAAACGTGTCAATAAAAAAACAAACATGTGGAGTATGTTGCTATAGAATTGAAAGAAATTTGCAGAAAATCTAACCATTCAACCATCCAATGAGCAACATGTGTAGAGAAGCTGACGTTTGTCTTAGTGCTCTTTCCTCAGAAAATGTCTATATAATTTCAAAACCAGAATTGCATGTCACTTCCTCTGAGAGGGTCTCCCATCACAATAAGGGTAATCAATAATAATAATAATGATATTTATTGAGTACATGACATGTAAGTCATGGATTCTCAAGAGCCTTTGAAATAGGTATTATTATTGTTATTACTACTATTGTTATTATATGTTCCATTGCCTAGCTTGTTTCCTGTTACTCAGCTGGTAAATAGCAGAATCAGGTTTTGAAGCTGATTGCTCTCCAGAGCAAAGATTTTTAAGATTCTTTTAGATGGATGAACTCCTTTTCTTCTCATCATAATTTGTCAGATTGTGTTTTAATTTGTACTTGCTTTACACATTTTACAGCTTTATTCCTCATTTTACAATAGAATTTAATTCTTTATTTTAATTATCCTGGGCCAAGGTATGATGCTGGGATGTTTTAGATGGTTAAAGAATATTTGTTGTAAAATGTTTTGACATGATAGAGTAGGATTTTGTAATAGTAAGGAGCTTGGTCTTCATACTCTCATGCCGCTGAGTAACTATAATTATTATTTCACCACTCTTAAATCTCAGTTTCCCCTTGACCACATAAAGTAATTGACCACTCCTTTATTGATTTTATTTCAAGAATTACTGCCTCGTTGAAAATATTTCATTAAGGATGTTCTTATTTTTAAAAAACAACGTAAACTTACTATAATGTGACAGCTTTTAAAAAAGTATTCCCAGAGCCGAAACCGGTTTGGCTCAGTGGATAGAGCGTCGGCCTGCGGACTGAAGGGTCCCAGGTTCGATTCCGGTCAAGGGCATGTACCTGGGTTGCGGGCACATCCCTAGTGGGAGATGTGCCAGAGGCAGCTGATCGATGTTTCTCTCTCATCGATGTTTCTGACTCTCTATCTCTCTCCCTTCCTCTCTGTAAAAAATCAATAAAATATATTTAAAAAAAAAAAAAGTATTCCCAGAGAATAGCAGCAACCTACTACTTTTATTCAGTTGGTTCTGAAATTAGGTAGAATATGTTAATAAACATACTTTGGTAGGTCAATTAGTAATAATTGCAATAAAATAATTTTTTTCATTTTTCCTTAGATTCGCAATAAAATGATAGATGGAGAAAGTGGAGAAAAATCCTTTAGAACTCTGGTTAAATCTCAAGATGAGGTAAGAATTAAGTCAGGCTTATTCTCATACATGTCAACAATAATTGATATTGGTAGTTAGTCTTTTTTTCTATTAAAGCAATATTTACTTATAAAATAGGGTTGTCTCCAGTAAACACATTTTTTAAGGTACTCTTCTTTCCTGAAGGGATATTTTCTTTTTTTTATAATCTTTATTGAAAGTATTGCATAAGTCCTCTTTTCCCCCCATTGACTTCTTCTAGCCCATCCCCACCCCTTTCAATAAGATTTTTAACTCTTGGATTTTTATAAAATAATGTTGTTTTGGGTTTCTTTATTCTTTTTTAAATTTAATTTTATTTTTCAAGTATTCTTATATTAATATGTTCTTGAAATATTTTTATTTTTATCATTATAAGAAATAAAGCACAATTTAATGCAAATGTTCTTATTATTGTATTCCACATATTAACTATTTAGGATTTTAAACATTTTTTGGTTGTTTACTTGTTTCTGGCTTGATTTATCTTAGTGCACTATTTATGTACTTTATATAATAATTTCCCTGCAAATCTGAAATTAAATCAGGAGACAACACAACTACCCCCATACGTCACTGGAACAAATAATGTAATACAATGTATTGTTTATTATTATTCCATTGTCATTGAAGAATTCTTTATATGAGGAGTGTGCCTATCTGTTATTAGTCACATGTAGAGTAAATGTATGTTCATATATTTGAGTATTTGAAAAAATGTCGAACTCAGAAGTTTTTGAGCCTAGAAATGTAATCTTTATAGCATCCTTTTAAAATGTCAGATTTCTCCTGAATTCCTCAGCAGATCTTTTCCTACAATGTAGCAAGGATCTAAATAAGATCCTTCAATGGCATGTGGCTTTCCTTATTTTAATATCATTCAGAGTCCCCATTATGAGAACCTAAGGGGTGGTGAAAATCAATTTCAGTCTTTGTTAAAACTTCAATTCTCTTTACTCAGACTTTAGCTGTGCTGTTTTCCCCTTCAGTCCTTACAGGAAAATTGTGTACCATTCACCAGTTTCACCAACTTTTCCATGTTGTTCCATCAACCAGATCTTTGACTTGAACATTCTTTCCTCAACTTAAAAATCACTTTTGTTTCTATTAAATCCCTTTGATATTTTCCTACTTCAATTGACTATAAATTATTTTTCTGACTAATATTCACCTACAGAGTTTTCCTATTACTAATAGTGAAAAAATATCATGTATGTTTCCTAATCTGATATTATTTTTACAACTTGCAGACCAACACTAGTTTGCCATGTTTATTGAGCAGTATCTAATAGGTAAACATTATTTTTAAAAGTTATTTTAAGAGTTTTACTAGTCCAAAAACCTTAATACTCCATTCCTCCATTCTCCCACTCTCCACTTACATAAATAAAACCAAGGGATGTTGGATGTATAGCGGCAGCATTGTGTAGTTGCTATACAATGGTTTTGACATCATACATTTCCTTCATCCTCTCAATTAAAGTCCCCTTTATTTATTTCTTCATCATTAATTGTGGAAAATAATAGTATCTTCACCAGGAGGCTGATTAAATGAGGCAGTGACTGCAAAGTGCTTGGTATGTTGCCTAGCTCCAATTAATACTTCAGTGACTGTTACTGCTCTGATGAGGATGACTAAACTGGAAATAACTCAAAGAATTACAAGATATGAATGTGTTATCACTATATCTAATGGAAGAAAGAATAATAATTTCTTTAGTATTGTTCATCAGCTGCATATAAAAGATTCTACATCCATGCGGTTATTTCTCTTTACTTCCTTTCCCTGGTAGATTTAGTTGTTTTTTCAACCTTCATAATACTGAGTTATTAGTCTCTCATGATAGATAAAACTATAATAATGGCTTAATAAGAATAGTAATATGCTAATCTTACATTTGGATCTAGATACACTGACTGCATTAACTTCCTGATATTATAACCATTTCTTTTAAACATACTCTGGTATGGATTATCTGAGCCTTATCGAACATTTCACAGTCCTATATCATTATTACAGTTTATTTTTCAGGAAATGTTTTTAAAGTATTTGGGTTAATAATTTGGCATAAATTGCCAAGATTTTCACTTGTAAGTTTTTAAAATTTATCATGTGGGTGTTTATTTTGTCCCAACATTTTGCTTTATATATACCTATATCCATAACAGAATAAACATTATCACATAGAATAGATGAGAAATTTGTGAGGAAGGATGTTGAATGACCACTGGATTTATAAGTAGATCCTAATGTTTTGCTCATCATGTAAATTTACATAGAGTAAAAGCTGAGAATAACCATGTGAAACTTTTTTTCTAGAGATATATTGACAAAGGAAACAGGACATATACATGGACCCCTGTCAATGGAACAGATTACAGGTAATTAACTATATTTATATGTATATTGAATAAAAGTATTCATTTCAGTGTCTTTCACCTATTTTAGTAGTGATTTTTCCAATGGATGAATATTAAGTCTTTGCATTTTCATTAGCTATTTTCAATGTAATTAAAATAGAAATGTTACCTTTTCCAACAATAAAATGTTTAAAGTTATAGCTGTGTTGGTTTTTTCTCAAAGTGGAAAATATAGGGAAAAGCTAGAAATATAAAATTTAGAAATGACATGTGATATAAATATACTTGATATTTTGTATATTTATGTTAGTAAAAATAAATGTTGACAATATGCCCTTAATTTGTAGTTGTCACCTCCACTAACCTCCTCATATAAATTAGTTTACATTATTCACATTTTAGGTTGTAATTAACTTAAAAATAATGTTTATTACATCATAGTGTGATCTGATATAAAATGCTCAGTTGATATAATTTACCCCCAAGAGTAGCAATTTTGCAATATACTAATTCCTCCAATTGACTGGGCCTTGTAAAACTGGACACATAATACCCTATAAGAGAGATAGATTCTAAGATTGTTGCCTTCTTTGTTTAAATGCCCAGCTCGTGAGACAGTGGCACATGGTAGACATTCTGTAAATATTTACAGGATTCAAAATTAAGATTTTTCAGTTTGCCCCATCCTGTCAATTCCAAACAATGGTGTTCAAACTTCCATTGAAACATTCAAGTCTGAAGGACTCTTTGGTTACATATTTATATATAATAACTGTGGTGGACTCAACTATTCCTTAACAACAGCCCCCCAAAGGTTATATTCCTAACCTTTCAGGGGGGCCTAGATGGTGGGGATTTCCCGAGAGCTGCAGTGTTGTTATAATAGGAAACTGTTGCCTTTTGTGTTCCTAGGAAGGCATACAAATAGATATAGAAGAAAACATAGGTATTAATGTCAGAAACAGTACCTGCCAGTCTTTCTCCACTTTTGCTTTTGCTTTTTTACATACTTTTGAACGTATTGAGAAACACCAGAATGACTGGTTTAATTACTTTACTTGTGTCTACTGATTTCTCTCTCTCTCATTTCTATTAGGCATCTCTTCACATATACACATTCTTTATTTACATACAAAAGTCATTACTTCTTCTTTCTCTTTTATGACTATTGCCAGCTAAAAAAGAAAATCAATAAAACGTATTTTTAAAATATAGTTATAGTTATTATTTTAACCCTCACCTGAGGATATATTTTCATTGATTTTAGAGAGGAAAGGAGAGGGAGAGAGAAACATTGATGTGAGAAAGAAACATGGATCAGTTGCCTCTCACATGCACTCCGACCAGAGATTGAATCCACAACTTGGGTATGTGTAGACCAGGAATCAAACCCAAGACCTTTTCAGTGTACCCAAGACCTTTTGGTGTATGGGATGATGCTCCAACCAACTGACCCACACCGGCCAGGGCAAGGAGCCCTATCTCTTTAGAGATGATTTTATGATAAAACAAAGTATTGGATGTGCTGTTGGGAACGCACTCTATGCCTTTGTTCCTTAGGTACACAAATACATTGCTTTTTTATTCTTCGTAGAATGAATTTTTTTGCATGTATATTTATACAAAGAAAAACCTGTAATTTTTATTTTTTATTTTTTCCTGTTCTGTATTGTCCATAGGAAAAAGTAATGAGATTACAATCTGGACATTCATCCCAAAAGCCATGGTATGAGGCTTGAGTTATCTGAAAGAAGATCTCCTGAAAATGTCTATAAATATTTAGAAGCCTGAATATGCACACCTTTTCCTGTGCATTGCTAAATTTTAGATTACATATTAAAGGCGAATCCTGAATGACTCGATTGATCAACTGAACCTAGCCTCACTTTTGGAAAATAGTTGCATCGGAAATCTTTGAGATTGCCTCATTATCTGTACCCATTAGTTCCTAAGTTTCCTTCTATATTCAAAGAATTGCAAAAGTCATTTGCAACAGCAAATGTAGACATGAAAAACTGTTTCCTTTTGATCCTGACAATGAGTTGTCAATGGGAGTTGTTCCTACTACAGTCAGAATTATACTTTGGGGGTATTTTTAATTCGCCTTATACCTTACCTAAATGTATCTGTAACAGACTCTCAAATGTCCATTACCTTCAGCCCTTTTTCCTCACACATCCAGACATAACACACAGTGTGGACAGGTTAATGCTTATTTCTGCAGGGTTGAGCATATTACTTGTTTATAGAAATGCAGTCTCTTCTCATTTTCATGAAAGTTAAATTTCAACTTCCAATTCTGATCATTCGCGTCGCATATTTCTACCCTGTCTGTTCTCCCACTGCTCTCCCCATACAAGTTACTGTTCCCTGAATAGCCAATCTTCCCTTCTTCTGCATGTTTGCATCATTCATTCCCTTCCCAACCTACAACTTTAGCCGATCCTCCCTTCTTCTGCATGTTTGCATCTTTCATTCCCTTCCCCAACCTACAACTTTGAGCCAGATTCCATCTCTAACTTCCAATTCTGATCATTCGCGTCGCATATTTCTACCCTGTCTGTTCTCCCACTGCTCTCCCCATACAAGTTACTGTTCCCTGAATAGCCAATCTTCCCTTCTTCTGCATGTTTGCATCATTCATTCCCTTCCCAACCTACAACTTTGAGCCAGATTCCATCTCTTTCCATTATAAGTACTTTTCTGAATCTCTTTACAAATAAATTCATAAATGCCAATTTAGAACAAAATGTTACATCTATATTAAAGAAACATGGCATGTGTTGATTTAATGAATGAGGTACCAAATTTCACTTAGTGATTTTTGTCTCCTTAAGCCTTGATATA